TAAGATATAAATTTACCTATACAGGAACGCGTTGAGTCCTCTTGTGTATTTTATCTTAAACATAGAGCACTTATACTGACGTCTAACGTTCCCCCCTCGAACGAATACATAACACACTGATTGCAGGACTTCACCCACCCTCTCCAGAAGAAGCTCGATTTTAGGCAAGGCAAATCATGTGCTGATAAAATTGAAAAACTCTAAGCATCTTTACTGACAAATGCATAGATGTGGCAGTCAAACCTGTATACAATAAAATTCATCAACTTCGAAAAGGCCTTCTACAGCGTCCGTTAATCATCGAGTAATTTTGAAAATACTTCAACACTATGGCGTATAGCGTCCCAAGTCTTTATCAACCTCATTCTACAGCTGACTATATGACAATACCACGTGTCAGATGATCTACAACGAAAAACTCAGTGAAACCTGGCTTTGAAGTGAATACAAGAGTGAGACAAGGTCGACTTCCTATTATCACCAACGATGATACTCTTAAAGTGGTGAACTGGATTATGCATCAGAGACTATGCGCCGGTGTAACAACAGAAGACAAGGGCCAGGCAACAGATCGTTTTATTATGAAAATCAACACGTATTTATACATCTTTCAACTACATTATTATAGACAAGCGCAGTCATTTGATTGGTTGTTTAGGTAGACAAACGCAGGCTTCTGATTGGTTGTTTCGGGATTCCTTGACAAATAGAGTTCTCTCTGCGAATCATATTCTGCCACGTTAACTTTGCTGTGATTGGTTGTTGACTCAGGCTTGTTCATATTTTCTCACGGCCCATATTAGTGACCTAGACCTTAACGTAGATTAGTGCCAACCAATCGGCTAGCAGCCTGCTCTCACCACACCGGTAGCGAGAGGACAAGAATACATTGGACTGATCGATAAAAAGACTCTAGAAGATCTGGATTTCATGCATGGATGATTTAATGATTTATCGTCACTCACACTGATATCTATCTATATAATATGTGTGTTTGTTTGTCAGTCTGTTATATTTTGCTATGTATATATGGATCGATATTCCATTATAATTAGCCATTCATGTTAAGACTGTCTATTGATTTGTTCATTTTGAATATTCGTTCACACACTTGTTCAGACATTTACATTTTTGCTCTCACACTCTTGTGTGACATTTTGATTCTCCTGGTGTTTTGGAAAATAGAAGTATCATCGCAAACCTAGTGGTCTTCTGATTTCCTTCCGTCTTTCTTGCGTCAGGACATGCAGGCAGGCAGAAACCAACAAACTGGCAGAAGAGGCGAGGCAGGCAGCGAAGACATGACTCCAGGTGAAAATAGAGAAGGCAAGGATGGTGAAGATAACCAACCAACCAATCAACCAACAGCAACAACAACCAGCGCCAGTTACCATAAAAGGGAAGGAATTCGACAGAGGTGACTTTCTGGCTTCACTTATCCAGCCAGGAATCATGGAATCAGTCAAAGGCAGTTGGCATGGATGGAGGTATCAAAGACAGTGGGGATAAGAAAGGCAAGGAAGACTCTCATTTCTCTGAAATCAGTTTGGAAGTCTTCTACACTCAGAAACATAAATAACAAGATTCGGGTTTCTTAAAGGAATATTAAATCAGTCAGTTACTTCTTCTATATGGGTCAGAAACTTGCACTGCATATCTTCGGAGGTATTTTGAACAGGCTAAACTGCAAACTTTTATTAACAGCTACCACTTTCGATGGCTGGTTCCATACTGAAAAGATCAAATGGTCAGCTGGTTAATGGAAAGAATTACCAACAAGAATCTCTGGGAATAAACCCATTGAGAATCTGTTGCTGAGCAAATATGGTGAAGAAAATGGAGAGAGAGATTGAACATACGGTGAAGAGACCGTCAAATAACCTCGCGCACCAGGCTATCACTCTAGTGCAGCCCAAATAGAAAACGAAGAGTTTGACATGTATCCAAGGGTGACGTGGAGGAGATCGTGTGAGGAGGAGAAGAGAAAATAGTGACAAACATGAGGGCAGATAAAAAAGCCTGCAGAAAATAGGACAAAGTGGAGACGTGCTGTTGAAGCCCTCCATATGTTTTATTCTCAACCCAAGGTAACAATAATGAATAATAGTAGTTTACAGTTTACAATTTATTTAGGATAGTAGGCTATATGCCTGTGTTAATCCTTTCGATTTATTGCATACAGGAGGTCCAATCTCGCCTTGAATGAATCAACGGATGGCGCTGATACGACGTGTTCCGGTAGGGAGTTCCAATGGTTCACAATTCGATGCGAAAAACGGATTTCCAGACGCAGACGATTCGACCGTGGTTTTTGAACCTTGAGGTGATGTCCTCGCAATTGGTTGGTGCTAGAAGGAAGAAATAATTTAGATAAATTAGCTCCAAAATCATTTCTTAGGATACGGTATGCTAGTATTAGGTCACCCCTAAGTCGTCTGTATGACAGTGGAAATAAACCCAGTCGACTTAACCTCTCCTCATATGACAGGGTTGAGAAACCCTTTATTAGCTTAGTTCCTACTCTTTGCACCCTTTCTAATAAGTCTATTTCGTATTTGAAACACGGGCTCGCTGCCTGGATCCCATATTCCAAATGAGGTCTGATATAAGTCGGATATAATATACGAAATATATCAGCGTCAAAGTTCGCAAAAGCCTTGCGTATGGCCCATAACATTCGAAAACCCTTAGTGGCTGCAGTTCTACAGTTTGTTGCTGTTTTCAAGTCATGCTGCACAACCACTCCCAAGTCCTTGTACTCAGTGACCACTGGGAGAGTAATGCCATTCATTGAGTAATTGTGCACGTGACTATGGGATACATGCATAACTACACTCTTGCTTAAGTTAATCTCCAAGGCCCAGTGCTTACACCAATCACTTAACAAGTTTAAATCTTCCTGCAAAGCAAGTTGATCACTGTCATCGTGCAAAGCCCTCCATATCTTGATGTCATCAGCAAACAGTAAGCAGGATGACTTAACTACCGATGGAATCTCATTAACATAAATCAGGAAAAGAAGTGGGCCTAGAATTGTACCCTGAGGAACGCCACTCTTAACCGATTCCCATGTTGATAAAACCCCGTTAACTCGTACTCTTTGTCTTCTGTCCTTTAGAAAGTCTTGAATCCAGTCGGTAACCACTTTATTGATTCCCAGACTACCTAACTTTACTAGAAGACCTGAATGAGAAACCCTGTCAAACGCCTTGCTAAGGTCTATGAATATGGCATCCACCGGTATATTAGCATCAGCTGAGCTTGCCCAACTTTCTCTGGCCAAAAGAAGGTTGGTCAAGCAAGAATGACCTGCTCTAAAACCGTGCTGTTCCACAGCGAAAAGTTTGTTCCCTTCAATGAACTGAATGATAGCATCACGAATTATTCTTTCTAGTAGTTTAACAACAATACTGGTCAAACTAACAGGACGATAGTTCTGAACTAAGTTTCTAGATCCGGTTTTGAAGACCGGACTAATGATGGCATCTTTCCAGTCTCTTGGACATTTAGACTGGTCCAGAGACATATTGAAGATTACCGACAATGGCTCGGCTATGCTTTCAGCCAATGCTGTTAATATACGTGGGTGGAGTTCATCAGGGCCACTGGACTTACCAGGATTGAGCCTTAGAAGCCACTTTAGGACAGTATCCTTTCCAATGTATAAGGGTGCCATTTTCAAGTTACCTTTTGGAAAATTTACAAAGCTGGTATCAATATTATCAGAGAATACTTGACTAAAGTGCTTGGACAAAGCCTCAGCCTTAGTCAAGTTATCCTCAGCCATGTTTGTCTGGTCATCTTCAAGCATAAGAGGTGGGATAGCATCACTCTTACGTGTTCTTCTCTTGATATATGAGAAGAGTCTTTTTGGGCAGCCTGGTGAACTTTTAACTAACTGGGTTTCGTAAGCTATCCTTGACTGGTGGATCAAAGTTTTACACTGGTTTCTGGTTTCACAGTATTTCAGCCGGAACTGCTGTAGCCCAGTAGAAACAAAGAGATTCCAGAACCTTTTTCTCCGTCTCAGGAGTGTTATAGCTTGTCTATTTATCCATGGTGGCCGATTTGTTGGCCTTTTAGGAACCCTCCAGGGGATGAGATCAGTGGTAACCCTCTCAAGTGTATTCTTAAATCTATCCCATTCATCTTCAATGGATGAGACAATGTTGACTGACCAGTCGGCAGTTGAAGCACGCTCCTTTATAGCCACTATGTCAGCATGCCAAACACTAGGCCGGGATTTGGGTTGAAAACTGACTAAATTGCCAGCCACTTCACAATTCATGTGCAAGAATTGCCTCCATATATACGAACACTACTCGTGGAACATGCTTCACGGTCACTGTTTCACTGAAAAAAGTACTGAACGATTAGCCTTCACCTACAATAGCCTTGTCACTTGGTAATTTGTCCATCCGTTTGGATGGTGTATTCTGAGCAGTAGAACTCGCAGCAAATACTTCTCATTTGAACTCTAGTGTGACCAATGCACTCAAACAATTTTTCAACATATAGCAAAGAATGGACGCCAACACTGAAACCAATCAAACTCATTTATAAACACAGACTTTTCAATAATTACTTTGTAGAGATGTGATTTATTTTAGATTTGATGACGGATTGATAACTCACTTAAAGAACTATAGAAAAACCAACAGGGAATCCTTCATCCTAGTTTAAGACCCGTCGGCAGTAGGTACCTACTGGCTATAGAACAAAGTTGCCTGGATCTCCATCTAGTGAGGAGTCGTAACTGGCGAAGTCCATCAGTAGGTTGGGAGTGAGGACATTGGCTGGTGCATCGGTGGCAAAGCGGCACAATGCTCTACGACCACGAATGTGGTCCGGGTTTCGAGCCCTGGGCCATCAACGCACTTCTTAACCTCACTAAACCAGTAATAAAACTCTGGTTAATTGAAAAGGCTAGCAATTCTATCCTGTAAAAATAAACACTGCTACAGAAACTTCAAGCCTCGAGCTTGAAGCATTATGCTTCACTGGGAACATGAAGGAATGAGAAAAGTATTGGCTCGTGCCAGTCCTACTAAAATCATGAATTTGTAGAAGTGAGAATACTTGAATTGGCCATTGATTCGCGTCCCAGCGGCTGAATACTGGTCAGCGAGCTTGAATTATTACCGAAAGGCCTTGGATTCGAACCCTAGCTGTGGGTATATGCCATCAATGTATCACAAACTAGGACGAGACAGTCATCTATCCAGTACACCCCTGTAGGCGGTGTTCAATGCTTCTCTAACTGACATCAATCCGTTGTCAAAGCTGAAATTATTTCCCTAACTTAAAGATTTGGTTTTGGCTCTCTCTCTCTCTCTCTCCCTGTCTCTCTCTCTACACCTTGGACATTGAAATAGAAATTAAAGTCGAAACAAGGATAATTATTCATTCATATATCATATTCATAATTTGTAATCATAATAATCAGTGTATATAATTTGTACAAAAACAATTTTGTTAATTTTTCTTCTTCACTCTATGTCATTTGTTGATTTAATTTATAATTTAATTTAGTTTATTTATTTATTGTGTTTTACTCTGTTTGTTTTACTTCTCCTCTTTCTCCGCCATAATTAATTTAAAATGAAGCGGGAATATTAAAATAAGAAGAGATAAACAAAGAATGAACAGATAGACGAACAAAGGGATGGGCAGAGTAGAGAGTAAGTGTATGAAGAAGAGGGGAGAAGTAAGAGTAGTGAGAGTAGTAGGAAGGAAGAGAATATGAATCAACAGGAGTATGAGGAAGAGAACTAGGATTAGCAGGGGGGAAGTCAAAGTAAGAGGAAAATGGCGGAATAGGAGGAGGAGGATGATGATGAAGAGAGCGACTAAGAGGATGCAGCCAAGAAGAAGAAGACAGTGTACTGAACATTATGTTCAACAGAAAAATCACTGAAGAAGTGACAACATTTCAACACACACACACATATTTTTGTCGTCAAAAATAGACTGAGTGAAAAAAAAACGCCAAGAAGAGGCCCAGATACAAATCCCGGATGAAGACGGGGGAAGAGGGGAAGAAGGGAAGAGGGAATCGGGGTAGGTTGGAGGGGATAAAAAGAAGGGAAAAATACTTTTAACATAAAATCACATGTTAGCTATTTCTGGATAACTTGAAATCATAAATGCATTTTCTGCTTTCCATTTTAGTTCCAATTTGTGTTGACCAGCCATAATTTCAGCTTTCTATTTTGACATATAACACACACAAGAACAAATAAAATGAGGCACCAGTGTGAATTGTTGGGGAAGGGGGAGGATTAGGGCGGGATTTGGAGGCAGTGAACAGAAGCGGGGGGGGGGTTGGAATCAACGGATTCAATGAAAAGCTAAGAATTCTTCATTTCCTATCGACAGAATAAGACGAAGCGACGACAAAAACCTGGAGACTGACAGTACTGAGGCATCACAAATGATAGAGACAATTAAAAAAAGACAGAATAGGGAATAATGATCGTGTGTTTATGGTATCTGTCTAATCTCCTACAGAAGACTATGATTCTCTTTTCAATAAGACTGTGTACTGAAATGCATCGAGATTAGATGAAGTGAGTAAAGAAACCCAAACAGGCAGGGGAACAAAGATGGGATGGGTGGTACGAGTGATGGGGAAACAAGGAGGCTGACACAATAAGAAGTGCATATACAGAAAGCACGCGCGCACGAGAGAGAGACGGATAGAGGTTCACAAAATAAGAATGGTGAGAAATGTATTCATCGTAGAATGGATGTCAGCTGTTTACGCCTGAATATTGAACACTGTGAGGTGGTAGGTCAGTCAGTCAGCCAGCCAGTCTGGCGGTCGGTCGGTTGGTCAGTTGAACTTTATCCCCGATAATTATATCACGTAATAAATCAAATAGGTCCATATATATTAAAATAACAAAATAATAATTTTTTTAAAATGAAATTCCATCACTTCCACCACTGTTGACACCACTTCCTCCAGAACTTGTACTTGTGGTTCCAATTCCACCGACAATACGTCTCGATGGACTAAATTCTATTGGCTGTAAGCCTGTATTATTATTATGTTTATTATCATTAATCCCACTCAGTGTATGTTGATGTGTAGGTGAATGATGAAAATGATCAAATTTTATGGTTGTATTACATGACATCATACTACTACTGATATTAGTATTGTGAGTAGTATTGATAGAAGCAGCAGCAGAAGTAGTAGCAGTACTAGAAGTAGTGGGAATACCATTACGATTACTAACACTACTGATATTAGTAGTGTGAATATTATTATTGTTATTATTATTGTTATTGTTAGGAATGCACACATTCGTTTGTGGTGAAGGCATAGCTTTAAGTATACGTGATATTGTCAGGACAAGTTCAGCAAATGTTGGCCGATGAACTCCTTCAAAATTCCAACATTGTTGCATAACACTATAGATAGACTCAGGACATCGACTAGGACGTGATAACCGGAGACCTTGATCAAGCATTGCTAATATTTGTGCACCTTTCATATCCTAAATAACGAAAAAAAATAAGACTAGAGGAATAAATGTTATTGATTTTATTGATTTTAAAATCAAACGAGTAGGGAAAAAAGGTAGGTGTGGTGCATACTACTGACAAGAATTATCAGTAGTATATGGATGCTACATTGAAAACAACGTTTTAAGTCAGCATGGCTACAGAATAAGACACACTTATTTGTCGAATCTCAATTTCAAGTGATGGTTTGTAGGGATTTGGTTGATTGGTTTCAGGATTTCATCATGAGCTGACATTAGTTAGAGAACCATTGGAAAACCTGGGAGTACTGGACAAATACTCGCCGAAGACATTGGCTAGCGGTTGCGCTATGTCGTGAATTGGCAGAAGTTAGAATTCAAGGACCATTGGATCGGGTCCCAGTGGCTTAATGGTATAAGAGCTCGCTAGCCTTGTAACCGGAAGGTCCTGGGTTCGAATCCCGGTGGGTGCGTACTGCTGAAGAGTCCCAAACTAGGACGAAACAGTTGGCTGTCCAGTGCTCCCAAGTTTTCCAATGGTTCTCTAACTAATGTCAGCTCATGATGAAATCCTGAAAGTATCTCAATTTGTCGCTTACATTGTGGTCAGGAAGCAATCTCAAGGTTTAACCTTCAGAGAGTCAACAACCAATCAGAACGGTTTATTATTGCCTGTTGACCTATCCAACCAAAAATCTGGTTAGAAATGTATAAATACAGTGGGATTTCCGGTACCAAGTCTCTTGACCTTTCCTGTTAAATCAGTGGTTTAATTAGTAGATTTTTCAATAGTTGGATTAGTTTTGCTTTTACTAGTTTGACCACGGATTGAGAGATATCAGATAGAGAGAGAGAGCCATTGGAAAACCACCAGGGAGTAATGGACAGCCAGCTGTTTCATCCAAGTTTGGGAATCATCAGCGGTACGTACTCACCTGGTTACCAGGTGAGCTCGTAGACCATTGAGCCACTGGGACCTGATCATCCAATCGCCAGCCCATGGATTCTAACTTCTGCCAATTCACATACGATATAGGGCGACCATTTTGCAATGTCTTCTTCGTATAGTTACTGCCTCATCTTCAACCTTCTATACCCTATTGGTCACGGCTTTCCACTAGAACCCCAGGTCACTGTCTACGAAACCAATACTTTCAGATTGATCTGATGCTCACTAGCGACTGGCTCTATTCAGGCAGTTAAGCTGGTGTTCTATTGGGAAGCCATGACCAATAGGGCACAAAAGGTGGAAGATGAGGCAGTAACTCATGGAAGAAGACATTGCAAAATGGTCGCCCTATATCGTATGTGAATTGACAGAAGTGAGAATTCATGGGCTGGCCATCGGACGACCAAGTCCATGTGGCTTGATGGTCTACGAGCTTGCCTTGTAACTACAAGGTCCTGGGTTCGAAGTATGGTGTGGTGGTGGGTGCGTACTGCTGAAGAGTTTCGAAATGAAACCGAACAGCTGTCGTGTACTTCCAGGTGGTTTTCCAATGGCTGTCTAAATGATGTCAGCTCATGATGAAATCCTCCATCCAATGATAACTTGATTATACATTGGTTAGTAACTAGCGTAACGCTTCTGGTCGATTGTTTGCTACAGGCTAAATTCCATTGTGAGTAAAGATTGCAATGTGGCTATCATGCCATTGAGTGGCTCTGCGTCACGACGCACTGTGAATTGTTGATATCAGATGCCTGGAGATAATCGGCCACAGGAAGCCTTGTCTGACCTTGCCTGAGGTGATTAATCGCAAGTCTGATTAGCTCAGTGGTGGTAAGTTCTCTGACAGCAGGCAACACCAGGTGACGCGTGTTCGAATATCCGCGGTAGTGGGAGTCATGAATTCCTTCCAGGTGGTTGCAGACCCACTAATCTGAAGACTACCAATAACAAGCATGAAATGTAGGTTGCACAGGGCTCCTGTCGACTGTCACTAACAATCACAGTACACCATGATGGGGAGTCACTTAGAATAGTGGTCACTGAATTACACACACATACATACATGCATACATACATATACACTTACCCTATACGGTCGTTCACCATAGGAATAAACTTCCCACAGTGTAATTCCATAACTCCATACATCTGATTTTGAATCAAAACGAAAGTAATAAATACACTCTGGAGCATACCATTTCAATGGCCATTTACCAGCAGTTGCTGCCTGTAAACAATAATCATCAAAAATAGGAAACAGCGTGTGGATATAAAAAAAACGAATAAGGCAACAAAGAGAAAAACAAAGCACTATGAAAACATTCATTGATCAAATGTAAAACAGGTTACCGATTGGATCAAATTTAACTTACTTACATGACCACTTTTATGTGTATATATCAGTTCACCTGTTGCTGTGGAACCAGCCAGGTACATCGGTCGTTCAACGCGCATCCTATCAAAAAGGGTCAAAGAACACTATCCAGCGTGGCTACAGAAAGGAAATAATGGCCATATAAGGAGTGCAACAATCGAACATCTCGTCAACACTGGTCATTCCATCTCAACGAACGCCTCCTCGTTCAAAGTAATCTACAAAGTGAAGAACAACCTTCCAAAGACAGTACGATTCCGTCTTCTTTGCATCGCAGAAGCCTTAGCCATTCAGTTGGTGGAACTAGAACTATGCATGCAAACGAAAATTATCCAACCACTTCTACTCGCATGCTAACAGCTCCGTTGATTTGACCTAACTTTTCTTTGTTTGTTTGATCTGACCTTACTTCTGTTTGTGTGCTTATTTTTCTAACTTAAAACCCTTGTGTAATTCTGTATATTATTTTGTTTCCATGTACACCCTTTGAGCACAACTCATTCATCAAACTATTCATGCCATTACGTAACTCTTATTCAACAATCATTTATGACAACTCATCACTTTTGTTACTATCCTCATATATGAACATCCAATTCATCTGAACTTACTAATTTTATTTTCGTTTGACAAATTTAATGTATACACACACACACACACACACACAAAATAACCATATATATATTTGCGATTGTACAGCTATGAAAATGAATTCGCCGAAAAGAGACTCTTCGCTGAACTACTTGTCTTCTGTCTACTAATGTTCGAATAGGAATTATTCATGAATTGAAGGTTTTTATCATCCATACATATATTTGCATAGAAAACAAAATTGTGTCCATGAGCGGCACATTCATGAATAGAGATTCCATGTCCAGTGATATATAGATTCGTTTGCCATTTACATTCAAGTCTTTTATGCACTCAATTAATTAAAAAGTTTCTTGTAGAGAGTGCTTGTACAGAGTTCTCGTCTCACAGGCTTCAGCATTTCAAACAACTATTTGACAATTAGATGGTACAGTGATCCCTCCATGTCTGAAATTGATCAAAGTGGCAGACCTGCTTTGTGCATCTTCAGTAGACTGTAGAGTTGAGGGATAACTGATCCCGTTGGTCTCAGACGTTCGAATAGGTCCTCAGTTATAAGACAGTCGTTTTTCATTCTCCTAAGAATATCTGTCAGTTGCTGTTCCATCTGTTCTATGACACTATCTAGCGCCTGTTGAGCTATATCATGAATTGCAGAAGTTGGAATTAATGGGCTGTCCATTGGATCGCGTCCCAGTGGGTTAATGGTCTACAAGCTTAATCTGGTCTTTTGCCCTACTTAATTTGACGTGCATCGTTTGTTCATAAAATCAGCGTTGAACTTGTCAAATTGTAAGCCCTCGTTAGACACTTCTAATTTCATCTAGTGATAAAGCGACTGTATTCTACAAGATAAGTCGGAAACATCTGAGAGTGACACAAACTGTTGACCGCCAAGGCAATTAGGTTAAATTTAGTGTCATAGGATAGCCTTGAAGCCTCATGTTTTACAACCATTCAAGTTATTGATGTGGCGTGTTCTCCTGACAGGATTTATTAGTAGCTTATAAGGACTTTCATCGGTACAAAAAATATAAAATAGCGGAAAGATGGATTTGATGTCAGAAAGAAAGGAAATGAATTAGGAAATCAATAACTGCCATTCTGACATTTCATCTATTATGAGGAGTGAGCGACGAAGTAGATTCGTTAGCTTCAAAGTCAACACAAACAAGTTTCCGTCAGGTCCTTGCTTTATGGTGTGGAAATGCTGAATTGCCTGCCCGTCTGGCTGTCAAACTCCTCCACTGAATGTTAAATGGAATTGAATGTCCTGAATTAATCACCAGATATTCGGTTATTGAACTGTTTAACCCTTTGCTAAGCATGCTGGTTAGTGTTCCGGAATGCGTTTTACAAGTGGACAACGCATGGTACAGCCAATGTACTCAGCTCCACACGAGCAAGTGAACTTGTATATGCATGTTGAACATAAGAGTAGTTGGTAATCGAATTTTGGATAAACATATAGAGAAATTATGTAGTAGTCTGACTTTTAATTTCACTCAATCATTTGGCTTTAGATGTCAAGAGGGACTGTAAGTCAGTCAGTCAGTCAGTCAATCGACGGGAAAATCTAAAATTCAATTAAATAAAATAATTAATATGACCGGTTGCACAAGAGGTGGTTGTTGTGACCCGAGTGGTCTAGTGGATAATGCTTTGGCGTTTGAAGCTTATAGGCACTAAGATCAAGCTTCGATGACAACACCATCAATGACTCACTGGGGAATACAGCTAGCTACATCCAGATGAGGAGTTCTCAATAGGACGAAATGCACATCTTGGATTTCGCTGCTAGTCAGCATCAACCAAATGACTTCAAACAGTGTCAGCTTGTAAGTTCACATAGCAGCTCGAGAAGGTTATAGTTGATAAGACTGTGAACTTGCTCAGTGAAATGTAATCACTAATGAATATAGTCAAGATCAACATGCAATTATCATGGGGTGGGGGGGCGGGTGAGTGAGTGATTTCACTGTCTGTCTCTGAGTGCATAAGTCTGGTTTGAAAGGTTTGATTACAATTGCTTCAACAACTTGTATTAAATTTGCTATTCTTTGTATGTTTAATATTTTGAAGGATTTGAAAATCTTGACTAGATGACCCCAGGTATCCACAAGCTGTCTGATAAATGCTCCCTGTGAATGTCTGCTTCTCTTTAGACATAAATCTCTTGGAATACGCTCAAAAATAACTCAGATAGAAGCTCTTCTTACTGTCCTTCAAATGTAGTTACTAACCACTACCACAACTGCAAATAAATTTGTAAACGCAGTTTTCTGCCTTCTGTTTTCTCCTAACCCCCTCTCTCACTTCGTTTCTTACTCTGGCAGTAACTTAAACTAAAATGTATGATTATTTAATTGAATTTTAGATTTTCCCGTCGATTGGTTAGATTGAAGTGCTTGGTCTCAGGTATATACAGCTGTCAAGTCCCAAATGGGAGGAAATGCACATCCTGATGGATTCCACTGTTAGTCACCATCCATCCACCAATTAACTTCTAATTACATGACCAGACATCCTCGTCGAAGCATCTGCACAAGGAGGAGTCAACATATGTTAACCTAAGACCGAGCTCTTCGGTCCAGTTGATCGACTAGAAAATCTAAAATTGAATTAAATGTAAGTCAGGATGTTGTATTCAGTATTCAGATTAGTTACTTACTGCCTTGAGTGCGACGAATCAAAGTCACAGTATTGTTATTACTATTATTATTATTATTATCATTATTATTAGTGTCGGTCATATCAAATTCTTGGTGTTGTTTCTATTATCTTTATGTTTCGCACCAGTAGCCAATGTACACGGGGTCCACATCAAGGTACAGAAAAACTGACAAATTCACGGGATGTGTAATATAAATCTTTTAGACAGTTGTGAGAAATCTTCTGCCTAGAAAAAGTGACTTGTTAATAGTTAATTTAGACAATGATTTATGCGAAAAGCAGGGGATAATTAATCATATTTAAACGTAGTTTTGGCGTTAAAGTAGCACACTTCTGTTTTCGATATAATATTGATTTGCTTACCAGTCACTTTTGAAAGGAATAAAAATGGAATGTGTTCAGAGAAAGGTTAGAGAAGGTAAGAAGAAGACTAAACGAAAGTTTAGTGAGATTGTAGACACATATTCAGGCGACTGATAAAAGTAATTTATTATGCATTATTCGACTCATAAATGGCGAAATCTCATTAATGTTATGCATGCAAAGAGGTACAGCTAACGTAGGGCTGAAAGAAAGAGAGTATTTACGATATAAGCTAACAGGCTGACATCCTTTAGAGAACTATTATTACTCTTAAGTCTGTGTAGAGATCTACAACAATCAGTATGAAAAATAAGAAGTGGATTTTCAACTTCACGGAGGCCACTTCGAACAAACTACAGACTTTCATCAACGGCTCCATTGTTCGCTCAGTACTTCACTCAAGATGACATGACTGGCCAGAAAAGATCAGCAGTAGTGGTTAATCTCTGACAATGAACGAACCAACCCAACAAGAACCAATTGTGCAAGAAATATGCGGGGACAAATGGAGGTGGATTGGACATACTCTAAGGAAACAAACCATCAAGTGAGTGACATCACACGCTAAGCCATGACTCGAGTCGAAACCCGAATAAGAAGTGGTGAGTTAGCTGGTCGTCAGTGTGAGGGTAACGTGGAAGAGGTCATTCGAAGAGGAGATGACAGCATGTGGGCAGGTGTAGCGCCAAATGCAAAAGTTGGCGGAGAATTGAACGCAGTGGAGACGTGCGACTGAAGCCCTATGTTCTTCTAGGTGTAGTAGACAACAACTGGTATCATCCTAGTTTTCATATATATATTTAACAGTACTTAGCACTCATAACTCCGTAGGGTACTTTTAGTTTATGAAAAGAACCCTTCGATTATTCAGTCACTGATATGGAATCAAATCAATACTGAGAGAATAAGTGCATTCGAAATGATTTGAAAGCTGTCGCAGACATCTAGAAAATTCTACTAATCTCAAGACAGTTGGAAGAGACAAAGAAGAAATTAAAAAAGTCTCGAAGTTTTGAAGTTGTGCAGTTATATTTCATGGTATAATTATAATCAGATAAATTGTGTTCCAAAAGTTATTGAGCAAATTGATAGTACTGTTTCACTAAGTAATGCGTAGAATAAATGTATTATTATTATTATTGTATCCTTTAGTTCCTAGAGGAACATAGGGCTTCAGCTGCGCACCTCCATTGACTTCGGTTTTCTGACAACTTTTTCACCCTGCTCCAGGTCTGCCCGCATGCTTTCATCTCCTCTTCACATGACCTCCTCCAAGTCACCCTTGCACTGACGACCAACTCGCCGCCTCCCTTTCGGGTTCCACTCGAGGGCTTGTCTAGTGATGTCACTTGATGGTTTCCTCAGCGTATGGCCAATCCATCTCCATTTCTTTCTGCCTATTTGTTTCACAATCGGTTCCTGATTGGTTCGCTCCCAGAGATCCCTGTTGCTGATCTGTAATATCATAGAATTTATACATTTGGTTCCCCTGATAAATTTCGATAAAGAAAGACGAAATTTGCAGTATCACATGATAACATCATTCTATTTCACAGGTTCTCATCAGCTACATACAGACTACCTGAAATTACAATTCTTTTATAGATGATAATAACACACTTCAATGTTTAAGTGGTGGTAGAGAAGAGATACTTTAAAAATGACGCATCCAAAACGAAAGCATTACAATGTTTTTAGTTTAAGTTTTCATCATCAATTTATACGCTTTTAAAGTTGAAAAGAGGGGGGAGGGGTAAGAGAGAAAACAGAAAAAAATTGATTTACAGAACAGTGTTAGCTTGTAGGTTCACATAGCAACTCAAGAAACAAAAGCGGCTACATTATTGAACTAAATTTTTGATTTTCCCGTCGATTGATTGGACCGAAGTGCTCGGTCTCAGGTTGACATGTCGGCTTCTTGTGCAGATGCTTCGACGATGTCTGGGTATTTAGCTAGTATACAATTGGGACATCATCACTCACTGACAAATGCAGGTACATCCAGCTGACGAGTCCCAAATAGGACGAAATGCGCATCCTGGATTCCACTGCTAGCCACCATCCACCAATTGTATACTAAAAGCGGCTACAGTTTATGAGATTAAGATTTGTTCAGTGAGTTGAGATCACTGAATTAGATGACTAATTAAAATCAAAATTCTGTTACTAAGGTAGTGAGAGGATAATCACACTCTCTTTCTGTATGCATAAATCTGGTTGATTTGATTCGTTTGATTGCGATTGCTTCGGCAAATCGTAGTAAATTTGCTGTCCTTTGTCTATTTAATATTTTGAAGGACTTAGAAATCTTTACGAGATGTCCGGTATCAACAATGTGTCTGGTAATTGCCCTCTGGGAATATCTGCTTCCTTTCAGGCACAGGTTTTTGGGAATATGTTCAGAAAATTGGATGGAATCCCTCCTCTCTGTCCTTCCAATGTACTTGATCTCGTAAGTGCACGTGAATTCATAAACGCAGTTGGAGGTGACTTCAGCAGGGTATTTATCCAGTTTTGAGTGGATTAAAGAAAGAGTGATGCTGTATACTGTTATGAGTTTTGCTGCCGGGAAGCTTCTATTTATTGCACCTTTCAATCTTTTGTCGATATTTTGTGACACTGCATCTCCTTTGTATGGTAGACAGATAAACACTTTTTTCTTTTCTACAGTTGGATGCTTTTCTTTCTCATCTTTTTCTCTGCTATGCTTCTGTATAGATCCTTTAGAGTATCCATTTTCTCTTAGGCATTACTCGACGAAATCTAATTCCTCTTCGACCGTATTTGGTGAACATAGCCTCCTGGCTCTGTCGTACAAATTCCTCACTAATCCACGTTTATAGCTTATGGGACAAAAGCTGTTATAGTGAAGATATTGTCCAGTTCAGCTTTCTTTTCTATAGATAGACCTTTCGACCATGTCTTCGTTTGTTCTTTTTACATTTAGATCCAGGAAATTGAACTCATTATTATGTTCATATTCCATGGTAAATTTGATATTTGGATGGATCTCATTTAGGCGATCATATAATGCCGACGCGTGATCCATATCGATGCAATGGATTAGTCATCTTATTCAGTAATCTCAACTCACTGAACAAATCTTAATCTCATAAACTGTAGTCGCTTTTGTTTCTTGAGTTGCTATGTGAACCTAAAAGCTAACACTGTTCTGTTAATCAATTTTTCTGTTTTCTCTCTTACCCCTCCTCCCTCATTTCTACTTTAACAGCGTATAAATTGATGATGAAAACTTAAACTAAAAACACTGTAATGCTTTCGTTTTGGATGCGTCAATTTTATAGTATCTCTTCTCTACCACCACTCAAACATTAATGTGTGTTATTATCATCTATAAAAGCATTGTGATTTCAGGTAGTCTGTATGTAGCTGATGAGAACCTGTGAAATAGAATGATATCATTTTATACTGCAAATTTCGTCTTCCTTTCTAATATCATAGAATTATACGCTGCTGCAGAATGGAATATGTGCACACCCCTGTGAATATAGCAGCTCTAACTGACTTCAACGACTCAGCGATTGACTTGTTATCAAAGGAGGAATAATCTCGGTGACTTAGAATATGCAGATGATATAGTCCTTCTAAGTGAAGACGCTGACAAAATCCAGCAGAGTCTTCTGAAAACCTTGTGGAGCAACAATATTCGAATGTTTGTCATGCGATTCGCTCCTCTTGTCAAATGTAAGATGATGCTACAAGACTGGACTGGACTACGCTGACTCCTTGCTTAAAGACAGAAGGGATTGAAGTGGTAGAACGTGTTGAATACTTCACTAGTTTGTGAAGTTGCATCAGCCAACCACACTGGGTTGATCGCTGACGAAATCTCAGCACTGATACGGAGGGCTGCCAACTTATACTATCTCTGGCCTAATAAACGTGATATCCGGCTGGCTATCGACCAAAGGACGTGTGTACTGCTCAGTATTTCGCTCTGTCCTCCTTTACAGCTGCAAGTGAGACATAGCTACTGAAAGTGGAAGACAAGAAAATCCTGGATAGCTGTCTTTGATCATAGGTGTCTGGGTTCTATCTCCCGTGGTAAGTGGTATAAATAGGTGAGTATTATTGAGGTTGGATATCGGTCAAGTGCTAGGCAAGGAGGGGAAATTAATCGACGAGGTTGTGAAGCGATTGAATTAATTTAAACAGTTAGGATATGTGTTACACGTGCATGAGTAGCCATCGCCTTCCTCAAACCAAAATGCTGACCCACATAGGATTGATCAGGTTGAAAGAGATTTCGGTAGTGGTGGTCAAACCAAAACATGGCTTCATTGCTCAAAGAGATCCATAACAGTAAGTTTAAGCCAGTCAGTCAGCCAGCGACTTAGGGTGGTTGATGTAAACGTCTTCTTTGGTTAGCGTCCTCCAGATGGTAGTAAGAACCAATGAAAGCCAGAAACAATTGGGGGATGGCTCAAAATCACAATTTTGAATGGCTGGCACAGATGCATTCACTCTTCGTGATTTGTTATATATATACATAATGTATTCTATGATGTTGCATAGCATTGCAATTAGATCCGTACATGATTTTAATTTCCTGAATCCAAGTTGTTCCAGGAGGAATTATGCATCCAGAGCTTCTTTTAGTCTCTCTGAAGTGACACGAGTTAACATTTTGTTTGTCGTCGACAAGAGCATTATACCACGCCGGTTCTTGCAGGAGCTCAAATCACCCTTCTTTGATAATATGACAAGGTGAATTCCTGCATCTAGTGCATCTTTGATTCTCTCCAGGTTGATGTGACTCAGTATTTTACTTGGCGTAGACAAGAGCATTATTCCACGCCAGTTCTAGCAGAGTAAGGAGCAAGTTGCCTTTCTTTGGCAGTTCCAATCAGTAGGCAACTTTCCTTCTTTCCAAACATTTCGCAGTGTAATGGAGCTCGTTCTATATCATGAATTGGAGGAAGCTGGAATTCATAAGCCAACGAATCGAGTTGCAGTGGCTTAGTGGTCTACGAGCCAGCTTGCCTTGTAACCAGAAGGCCATAGGTTCGAACCCTAGTGGAATGATTGCGTTCTGTGAAGAATCCGGAACCAGGACGAAAAGACCGTCCAGTACTGCCTGGTGATTTTCAAACGGTCCTCTAACTGATGTCAGCTCATCATGATAAAATCCTGGAAGCAAACTAGTAATTATTGTTGGCAGCTATAAATAAATGCCCAGTTTGAATGACAATTTTTGAAAAACTTATCTCTGGTGACTATTTAATTTTTCAAAATGAATTCCATTCTGTTGCATTCCATGTGGTGTTGTTTTTAACAGACACACACACGCACACACACTATTGACTAGGTGGTCTCGGATAGCGACGACCTGGAGTCCGACCCGCCTCACATGACATTGGTATTAAAGCATACCAAACAATAAAAGAAAATATAACCAACAAATATTAAAAGAGGGAATTGAAAAAAACATATCCACTTACCCTATAATAATCACTACCAAAATTTAGGGCTTTACTCATTCCAAAATCACTAATTTTTGCAAAATGCCGGGTAACCAATAGAACGTTACGTGCAGCTAAATCACGATGTACAAATTTACATGATTCTAAGTATGCCATACCCAAGGCAACTTGATGCATTAGTTCAGTTAATGTATGTACACTGACATCACTGAAAGGAACCAGGGTAAAAACAAAACAAAGAGACAATTAAATGAGTGTATTGGAATGATGGAGAATTAAATCTCAACTTTGTTAGATTTAAGACAGACGGATATCTACACAAGGAAATTATTTAGAAAGAAAACTTGGACGGATCAGTACACCCATTTCCATAGTTTCACACCGATTCAGCATAAAAGAAACTTAGTTAAGTGTTGTCTTAGCTACAGAATTTTTATTTATTTATTTATTTTTGTTTTTGATTACAGCTTGATTCCACACCGTATTTTTGGTACAAGTATGGAATTTTCAGCATGGATATCGGTAGCCCAAATTTCGCAGGCCGACCATAGATATCAAGGTGTGCGTCGGCGTGGGCTCGAACCGCGGACCATGTGGATGGTCGGTGAGAGTCCAAACCACTGTGCCACCGACGCAAAACAAATATACTCAGAGGAATGCATTAAGGAAGAAATGCATAAACTAAAACTCACACTACAAGAAAATGGATATCCACAGAGCTTCCTAAAAAAGTATATGTCAATACCTATAGACAGGATAAAGGTGGATACCGTAGACAAGAAACCTTTGTATCTTAAGTTAAGTTACAAAGGGGAAATTGCAGCTGACATTCTAAAGTGTCGACTCAATAGACCAATAGATAGAACATTTCCTGAAGCTAAACTGGTACTAAACTTCTCAACTAAACCAGTACTCACACAGCAAGTAAAGGATAAATTACCAAAGATGGCCTCATCAATGTGCATCTACGAATTCAACTGCTCATGTGGAGCCAGTTACATTGGCCGTACTCAGAGGGCTTTATCCATGCACGCACGTGAACATGTACCTGTATGGTTGAGTAAAGGAGTAACTAAAGGCATAAATAGTGCAGTTTTAGCCCACTTGGTAGATACTGGACACCTGATAAAACTTGACCAGGCGTTCTCAGTTATTTACCGCGTTCCTAGTAATTTGTCTAGAGGAGCTCGACTACGTCTTCTGTCATTAGCTGAAGCAGTTGCAATTAATACCAGAAGACCATCCCTTTGCATACAGAAGAAGTATGTTCAACCTCTATGTTTACCTTGGCCTACAATAAAGCCAACAAATCCTCCATTAACACTATAAATTCCTTTCACAATTTTCTTTTCTTTTCCTTCTTCTATTCCTCTGTTTCATTGACAAACGTTCATTTTCAACTTTTATGATTTCATGACCTTTCTTATGATTTTATTACCTTAGGTTTAAGTAGTGCTTTTCTAACTTGCTACCGTATTTACAAAATCCTGTTCATTCCACTTCATAATATTCATTGTTATTATTATTTGACAATCATTCACCAATAGTACATTTAATTTTAATTTTACACCATCATATCATCGTTATTATTTTACAATCATTCTTATTGTTGTTATTTTCAACCTTGAACTTAAGTCTAGACCGCCCCATTCGTTGGTTTATTTTCATATTGCCTCACACACCCTGATGATTACACTCACTCTTGAAACCTGTATTTTCTGTTGACCATATTTATATTTATATATATACACACGACATTAAATTAAATTATTTCATCACATTTTGTCCCATGTTGTTATTGACCATGCATATTAAAAAACTATATGACTATATGACTATTGTTTCATCCCATCTTATACTTGTTCCACAATACACTTTCTGATATGATTCTAATTCGCCTTTACTGTCTATTGTATGCTTACATTAATGGATTTATAATTGTAGAGCCTGAAGAAGAATTTATTGGTAACAATTGTTCGCTGTAAATAAATATTTTGTTAGATTTAATCATAAACTAAGTTTAATTAGAGAGTCACACAATGAAAAGCAGGAAGTAATGGATAATTGTTCTGTCCTGAGTTCGAACTCTTCAATCAGACACACACGACCCTATTCACCAAGGAGTTAACGCAGAACGCTTAGGGTACGAGGTGAGCCTCCTCCTCACTATTCAACCTTTGGGGTGAAATCCAGTGTTGCATGGAACCTGAATTCCTCTAATTAACGATATAAATATCAATATAATATAATAATAATCACTTTATTCCACAACAATAACAATTTACAGCATGGAATTTTCATCGTTTCTTTTACATATTGCAATATGAACACCAATGTGATGCTCACTAGCAAATGAACATATTCAGGAAGGTAGTTACCTGGGGTTCTAGCGAGAAGTCGTGACCAGTGAAGTACAGCAGGTTGAAGGTTTAAGAGAAAATTCTGGCCAGTGATGACATTCGCTACAAGGTCGCGCCACGACATGTATGAATCGGCAGAAGTTGGAATTCATGGGTTGGCCATCGGTTCGTGTCCCAGTGACTGAATGATCTACGAGCTAGCTCACCTTGCAACCAGAAGGTTCTGGGTTCGAACCTCAGTGGGTGCGTTCTGATGAAAAGTCTATCCCGAAACTAGGACGAGACAGCTGGCTGTCCATTACTCCCTATTGGTTTTCCACAGATCCTCTAACCGATGTCAGCTCATCATGATGAAGTCCTGTAACCAATCAATCAAATCCCTACAAACCAATACTTGAGTATTACTGTTGACTGGATTGTACCAGTCAAGTTTCCCAAGGAGTCACCAGGCTAGACAGCTAGACATCGTTGTGAGATATATAGTGATGCTGAGTAGTTGGGAACAATCGCCTGCATGTCTTGCCTAGACTTAAGTTTGATGCTAATTGATACTCCTCAGTAAAGCGTGTTTGCAATTTTTCAACCTTGACCTTGGCGGCCTGTTCGAATTTTTGGGCCTGCTACCAAAATATCTACATTTTGCATCCAGTTTACTGTTTACCAGCATACATTTATCAACTTAATATGAATTCTAACAGAATCATTTACTCTCGTAACTTTATTAATGATTTACGACCAAATGACTTTCATATTCCAAAGAAACCAAGAAGGAAACATCGTAGTGGTTGGCAGAGAGCTCTCAAACGTACACCAATACACTTAACTACGGTCCCCGTCATAATGAACTCAAACTGTCGCTCTCTGCCAAATAAGATAATGTACCTACAATCCCTGATGTCAACTGATACGTATCATAACACCGCCATAATCGCATTACAAGAAACGTGGTTGCATGAACTGTATGATGACAACCTTATCTCACTAAAGGACTTTATTTTATTTCGTCAAGACCGTCAATGTTGTAATAAGAAAAATGGTGGTGGCGTTGCAACTTTTATTCACTCCAAATGGTCTGTCTCAAATAACGTCTGCTTCACCTTCTCAAATGACTTCATTGACTGTATTACTGTCAAATGTCGCCCCAAACACCTCCCCAAGTATAAACAATTCTATATTACAAACATGTACATTTCTCCTAGTTGCTCTCCATCTGATCTATCTAATTTTGCTGATGAATTCACCATGTTTGCTGCTGCCAACTTCGACAACTCTCTATCCGTTATTACTGGAGACTTCAACACATCGGATTGTTCCTTTCTTGAAGCTCTTGGTCACACAAACATAGTCAAATTTCCCACTCGACTTGACAAAACACTCGACTCGTTTTTACTAATGACGAAGGAGTATATGAAACACGTAGACGTTCACCGATACATAACTCCGATCACTGCATTGTCCGCGTTTTGCCAAAAATATACAGCAAAACACATATTAAAATCTTCTCACACCTGTCTACGAAAGCACAAGAAAGATGCTACACATCTGACAACTTACTCAATCTAAGATGCATGTTAAAAGATACCAACTGGGATCTATTCTATGAAAGTACATTAGATGACTCAATCACCAATATAATGGATTATCTTAAGTTCTGCCTCGACATATGCTGTCCCAAACAAACACTGTTCAAACGCCTCGACCGCTTCTCGTCTCCCCGTCTCAAACAACTTCGCAGGCAAAAAGAAATGTTATATAAATGCAAAGACAAGTTAGGACTTAAAAAGATTAATGCTCAAATCAAATCTGAAATCAAAAATCTTAATGCTATCTATAACCAAACACTTTTATCATGCAAATCTCCTAACAGCATGTGGAAACTTTTCAATGAAATTACTGGCAAAAGTAAGCGATGTAATGTTTTTCCCTCTTGTGATGTTAATGCTCTTAATCTGTCTTTTTTACGCTCTCCTTCTACTATAACCACTTCTAACGTTACCAATCTTGTAGCTGATAACTTCCAGGACTTCAATACTCTCGATGTTTTGAAATGTCTTAAAACTCTTAAGCCCTCACATAGTCTTGGCCCTGATAGCATACCTGCATATGTTCTAAAACAATGTGCAGATGCTTTATGTTCTCCTCTAACTAATATACTAAATGCTTCTTTCCTCGAAAACGTTGTACCTGTTCCATGGAAAGACATTAAAATAGTCCCTGTCCCTAAACCTGGAAATAGCAAGAACGTAAAGTTCAGACCCATCGCCATCACTTCCCCGTTTCTAAAGCTCATGGAAAAACTAGTACTTCTTAAACTCGAACCCTCCCTTAAAAGCTTCGAAGACCCCAAACAATTTGCCTACAGACAGGGTAGGAGTACTTTAGACGCTGCAGCCGTCTTACACAACAGTATTGTCTCATCATTAGACAAAGGTGCCAAATATGTCCGCTGCACGTTTCTTGACTTTACTTCTGCTTTCGACTCTGTACCTAGAAGTCTCTTGCTAAATAAGCTCTCCATGACACAAACCGAGTCCTGGGTCACTAACTGGTTGCATTCCTACTTTTCAAACAGAATGCAGTACACCGTATACAAAGGCCAATCCTCCTCTGCTGTGCTCACAGAAGCTGGTGTCCCCCAAGGTGCTGTACTCTCCCCACTTCTCTTTTCTTTCTTCCTACATGACCTACCGTCTTCAAATGACATTAACTTTGTCAAATATGCTGATGACCTAACTGTATCTTTACCTGTCAAATGTCAAAGTGACTGCTCTAAACTAAATGGCTTCTTATCGGAAATTAGCCAATGGTCCAAGGAAAACGGTCTAACCTTAAACCCCTCCAAATGCCAAACAGTTAATTTCACCCTTAGGCATAAATCTGACCTAAACAAACTGGTTAGCACTCACGAGGTGTGCAACATAGATGGCAGTGAAATAGAAACCAAGTCGGAAATTAAATACCTAGGCGTCACTCTATCTTCTGATCTTTCCTGGTCGTCTCATATCTTGACGATTTCCAAGAAAATATACCGTCTTACCTTCTACATCAAGAAGTTAAGACATTCTGGTGTAACCCAACCCTTACTCCTACAATTTGTTAACTCCCGTATTCTGCCTATTATTCTCTATTGCTCCCCCTTAGTCTTTCCTGGGCTATTGAAGAAAGACTATACCTTATTACGTAGGATGTTAAAGGTTGTCAGCAGGGTAAGCAGCTTGCCACTTAGCCAGCTTGTTAATATTCTGGTGGACAGGCATATGGACTCATGTGAAAAATGGGCGAAATCCATTTTATCTGACTCACAACACCCTCTACATTCACAACTCTCCCCATGTATCTCTTCAGGGAAAACAAGAAGCCTATATAGGAAACTATATGCCCGCACTAGTAAGTACAAAAACTCATCCATACCCTACCTAGCTCGTGTTCTGTGCGATAAAGAATGCATCAGGCATGAAACCTTTAACTTATTAAATAGTCAGTAGAACCAATGGATCTCGTCTTTCCAACTCACATCATTTATAGGTACAACGTTTTCTCGCTCTTCATTCTGTATTTATTTTTGTTATGTGCTGTTTTGTTTCTCTCTTCCTTGCAAACTCTACTTAAAACATTCTTGTTCGTTCTTTCACACTCTGTATATCTCGACCATTTTGCTATCGCTTACGCCAGTAAATATGCTAGTAGTATCTACTTTTCTAACACCTTCAAACACTTTAATTTTGGCTTTGCTACCGACATACTAATATGTTGTTGAGATAACTTTAAACTATGTAGAACTTTATTTATTGTTAATGTAAAAAACTGGATGCAATATTGTAGTAAAATGCTGAGAATTCCATTCTGTATCACAAGTACTGATTTGGAATAAAGCTTATGTTATGTTATGTTGAGAAAAATGATGCCTCCTGTAGGATTCAAACTTCTGATATTAAGTAATGGAATGTGAGATGATATCACTGAGCTGGTAAAGTAGTGAAAACTGTGTAGAATGGGAAGAGAAAATGTTTTATTTTACAATAATACTTCTCAATGAACAACTGCCATAATGATAATATCAAAAGAATAATGATGATAAATATTAACTTACGGACGTCTTTTCAAATATTTATTGATAGGACCTAAAGGCGCCAACTCAAGGACAAGCATAAATTGTTCTTCTTTACACACGCCTATTAGAGAAAAGTAAAATAAAAGTAGTAAGAAAAGTCTAATTGAATTTCGATTTTCCCGTCGATTGACTGGACAGAAATGAGCCAGTCTCAGGTTGACATGTGTTGACTCCTCTTTGTACAGATGCTTCGACAATGATGTCTGATTATGTAACTTGAAGTCAGTCAACTGGTAGATGGTAAATGCTAGCGGTGGAATCTATTAAGATGTGCATTTCGTCCTATACGGAGCTCGTCAGCTGACTGGATGTACCTGTAATCTCCAGTCAGTGACTGTTCTCCTTACTAGACTTAAACCTAGTACATATCGTTTCAAAAGTCAAACGTCTGACCCAGTCTTAATCACTGGGAATCCACTAGCTGACGACTCTCAAACAGGATGAAATTTGCATCTAGTGGATTCCACACTATTATTAGACACCATCTATGAAATAAAAACATGTTCAAGACTTAGTTTATAGGCATCTGATTTATTTCAAGTTTGATCACGGATTGATATGAGTTTGAGAACCATTTGAAAATCACCAGAGAGTACTGAATAGCCAACTGTATTGCACCAAGTCTAAGACTTTTAGAGAGAATTCCAGCTAGTGATTAGTTACAGGAAGAAGTTGCCTTGAACTGCTTCTAATGAGAAGTATTGACCTGAGATGAAGACAAACAGTCACCGATGACATTGATTGTTGATCGCATTAATATCACGAATTAGTAGAAGTAAGAGTTCATAGGTTATTGATTTAGGGAGCAGTAACTAAAGAGTTTACGAGTTTTCCTGGTGGATGCGTACTGCTGGAAGGTCCCACATTATGACGTGAAAACAAGCTATCCAGTACCCCGTGATGCTCAAATGTGGTCAGGGTGTTCTCACTAGGAGCTGACTTAACAACATCAAACGAACATTCCAGTCCAACTTTATAATCGGTCAACGGAAAATACAAGATAAATGATGGTTGTTGGTTGGAAGACATGATAATCTTGCATAATATGGAATAACACTGTTGGTATATATGTGGTGGAATGATACAGTCGACAAATTGAAAGGTAACATCTCGATAAGGTTATAGATTTAATGAGATTTTGAAATTGCACAGATTTTGGCTCCAGTCTGGTTTGTCTTAAACGCTGAAACATAACACAGTGTAGTTAGACTAGTAAGTCAGTGGTCCAGGGAAAAAAAATACCCATGGCAGCCACGCAGGTGATCTATGGCTCAATTTCCAGCCATCTCACACCTAAAACTTACCTGCAATCTACGAATGTTTGGTAAGTGATTCTCTCCCCTTGCCAAATGCAAGATGATGTTACAGGACTGGACTACAATGACTCCTAATTTAGAAATAGGCAGGAGTGAGTGAAGTGGCAGAGCACATTGACCGCTTCACTTATTTGGGAAGTACCATAAGCCAGTGCCAACGGGTTGATCTCTGACGAAATCTCAGCATGGATACAGAGGGCTAGTTTCGCATATGCCAGTTCACGCCGGCTCTGGCTTAGTACACGTGATATCCATCTGGCTATCGAACAAAGGGTGGATGTGCTGCTCATCAGTCCACTTCGTCCTCCTTTATGACTGCAAGACGTGGCCACTGAGAATGGAAGACATGAAAAGTCAGGCTAGTTATGTTTGACCATAGGTGCATGCTTTCTATCTCCCGTGTGAAGTGGCATAATAAGGTGAGGAATATTGAGGTTAGGCATCAGTCGAGTTCTAGGTAAACAGGGGAAATCAATCGACGAGGTTGTGAAGTTACATCGGCTGAGATGGTTAGGACATGTGTTACGTATGCATGCCTAGTAATCGCCTTCCTCGACGGGCAGTGTCAGCCGATATAGGGTCAGGCTGGAAAAGAGCTAGAGGCGGTCAAACCAAAACATGGCTTCATCAGTTAATGAAATCTACAACAGTTAGTCTAAGCCAGCCACATAGGAAGGTGTAGACTTCCTGACCTACTGGTTGGGGTCCTCGGGACGGTAAAAACCAATGGTTGGAAACTATTGGTAACATGGCTCAAAATCCTTCTCAATGGCTAACGCAGATGCATCCACTCCGTGTGACTATGATTTCCAATGAAACTGTTTTGTTCTTCGTTACTACTATTCCTTTGTCTCATACCTCTGCTTACTGTCTCTAATATGGATTTCTTCTACTTTCTTCTCTTGTTTTGTGTGCTACATGAAGGAAGTATGGCGACTTGAACTGCAGCCCAAATGTGCAAAATTCTATGTCGAAAACAGGCAGACAGACAGACAGACTTACCTGATGGGTAGGAGTAGTAGGCTTAGTAAACGGGGAATGTTGGGCATGAGGCTAGAAACCCCGATGCGGAATGAATAAAAAGCATCTGGATTCAGACAATGAACTAATGAAATAAATTCTCTGACTAATTAACTGAACTATCTCTATTGGAGCATAGATTGTCTGTCTGACATAATTGTAATACATTGGGACGCATTCAAGCGTTGGTTTTTGCTGGGATTTGACTGGATTTCATCATGAGTTGACAGTACTGGACAGCTAGCTGTTTCGACAGTCTAAACTGGGACTCATCGGTAGTACGTGTCCACCGCCAGGGCTCGAAGCTAGAACCTTCTGGTTGCAATGCTAACGGCTTATGAATTCCAACTTCTGCCAATCCACAACATAGCGTGACCACTAAGCAACCAGTGCCACAGGTGGCGAGTACTTGTCCTCACACCCAACTTGCTGTGCCCTACTGGTCACGACTTCCCACTAGAACCCAAGTAACTAACCATATGGGATATGATATGATTCACATCAATGCATACAAATAAAGAGAACTTTGTAATCGGTTTTTCACATAGGTTTCGAAAACGTTCCTGGTTTCACCCTGGTGTTTCTTATTAGACAGTGGCTACATTGACTGAACACTTCCATTGATGCACACTGAGTTGAGTAAGACAAGGCTCCCTACCTATTATTGTGGTGAGAGCAGGCTGCTAGCCGATTGGTTGACACTAATCTACGTTAATGTCTAGGTCACTAATATGGGCCGTGAGAAAATATGAACAAGGCTGATTCAACAACCAATCACAGCAAAGTTAACGTGGCAAAATATGATTCGCAGATAGAGAACTCTATTTGTCAAGGAATCCCGAAACAACCAATCAGAAGCCTGCGTTTGTCTGCAACCAATCAGATGACTGCGCTTTTTCTACTTGCATAAGCTGTAATAATGTATGTGAAATATATATAAATACGTGTTGATTTTCATAATAAAAGGATCTGTTGCTTCGCCCTTGTCTTCTGTTGTTACATTATCACCAACGATGATATTCGTAATCATGGTCGACTAGAATATGCGGAAGACTGTGCACAGTGAGTGAGGAGACAGAAACACGATGGACTGAAGAATAAGAAGACTCTAGAAGATGTGGATTTCACGTGTGGATGATTTATGTTGAATGTCACGCACACAAACTTGAAAAATTGTAGGCGAAAACCAATAAACTGACAGAAGAGGTTAGGAGGGAAGACACAACTCCAGTTGAATATAGAGAAGATGGAGGTGATGCAGACAACCAATCAACCAACCAACCAATCAACGAACAGCAATAACGACCAACACCAATCATAATCAACGGGAGAGATTTGACAGAGGCTTCACTTCCAGGCTTCACTTATCCAGCCAGGGAGCATCATCTCAACTTTAGCCGGTCACCATGGATACAGATGTCAAAACCAAAATCGAAGGGTAAGGTTGACTTTCATCATTTGAAAAGTAATGTGAAAATCTTCTGCACTCCTCACCATAGAGAACTAGATTCGAATTTTTAACAATAATGTGAGGTCAGTCAGTTTTTCTATATGGGTCAGAGAATTTGCGCGTCATGAAAAGCGACTCACACAGGCTTCTATGACTTTAATTAATATCTGCCTTCTCTGGCACCAAATTGATGATTAGTTGGCTAGTCAGAAACAGTCAGAAACTCTGGCTGCCGAAGCAACAACCAAGAACATATATATATCAACCTGAAACCAGTTTGGAAGTCTGCACTGCACTCCACTTCAGCATGAAGAGCAAGATTCGAATTTTCAACATAAAACCACAATTCAGTCCATCACTTTTTCTATACAGGTCAAAAATTTGGCCAGACTATCACAAAAAGGATTCCCAACAGCCTGTTGCAAACATTTATCAACAGCTACCCACTTCGCTGGTTGGTTCGATACTAAAGATCAAACGGCAAACCGGTTGGCTAGAAAGAACTAACCAGCAGAAACTCTGGTTGGCTGAGAACAAACCAACCAAGAGCCAACCGCTCAACAAATATGTAGGAGAAAATAGAGATGGATTAATCGAGCATGCACTGAGGAGGTCGTTGAATGACATCGCCCGCAGTACAGGTCATTGCTCGAATCCAATTGGGAAGCGACAAGTGGATCGTCGGAGCGAAGGTGACATGGACAGGTTATGACCAATCATGTGGCCATCTGCTGCTGAAGAGGACAGCAGAAACTAGACAGGAAAGTGGAGATGTGTTGTTGAAGGTCTCCCTGTATTCCACTTAAAACCCCTGGGAACGATGACAATTGAACAATCATAACTAAATTCTATGCTTTGAAGATGTCGTCTAAAAGGACCATAAAATCTTCACAATTAAACCACCGCTCATCTCAGAAAAATCACAGCCACAACAAAATCATCCATCTGACCTAACAAAAGAAAATCTTCTCTCTCTTTTATTTCATCTGATCAGTTAATTGCTCATCAATAAATAACAAACCAAATAAATAAATCAATTAATCAAAATTATACTTCATTGATCAATAATCACTTACCAATTAATCTTACTATATGACGATGTTTCAATTGGGCCATTGTACGCGCTTCAGCTAATATTTCTCTCTATGTGTTCAATTTTGATGTTTGAATTTTTCCACAAAATTTGAGATATTTTTGTTTTTGTTGTATTTTCGAATGAAAAAAAAGGAAGCAAACAAAGTTGAGTAAATATTGTGAAAAAATTTAACAGAAATAATTAGTAGTACTACTTATAAGTAGTTTAATAGTGTCGCTAATTTTTAATGGTAACATGTTTATCAGTCGCATTGCAAGTCCGTTAGGATTCGATTTCTTGTCGTCACCGATGTGATCGTAAATCTTACTTCTTCATCACTGGCAGTAAGCTGGGCAGAGAGAGAGAGAGAGGTTAACAACCTCATTCTCATATAGACAATGATTTTAGTGGTTTTAATACCCTTGATGTGCTTAAATGTCTTTGGTCTCTTAAGCCTTCCCACAAAGCCTTGGTTCTAATGGCGTAGCTGCCAGTGTCCTCAGCAACTGTGCTGATATTTTGTGTTACCCTCTTACTAACACTTTTAATGCTTTCGTTTTCGGGTAACGTTCTACCTTTTACATGGAAAAACATTAAAATTATCCCCATACCAAAACCATCTTCTCGTTCTGACATTAAATTTCGGTCTATTGCAATAACTTCTCCCTTTTTAAAATTGATGGAAAAATTACTTTTACTTCGTCTTAAACCTTCATTGAAACCTTTTAATGATCCTAAACAATTTGTATATAAACATGGTGGGAGTACCTTGGATGCTGCGGTTGTCTTATATCACAATGTTGTTTCTTGTTTGGAAAAAGGTGCCAAGTATGTTCATAGTACTCTCCTAGACTACACATTTGCTTTTGACTCTGTACCTAGGGCCTTTTATTGAATAAGCTTTCATTGAGGCAAACAGGATCCTGGGCGAAGAGCTGGTTGCATTCTTATTTTTCTGATAGAATGCAGTATACTGTATATAATAGCAAATTTTCTTCTACCTCGCTTACAAAAGCTGGTGTTCCTCAAGGTGCCGTCCTCTCTCCTTTTCCTTTTTCTTTCTTTCTACACGACCTGCCTCATTCAAACGAAACTAACTTTGTCAAATATGCAGATGATCTGACTGTATCACTGTCTATCATTTCCGAGTCTGACTGCTCCAAATTTAATAGATTTCTGCTGGACATTTCAGCAAGTGGTCTAAGTCAAATGGTCTTATGTTAAATCCATCCAAATGTGAAGCAGTTAACTTTACTTTAAAGCATCGACGTGACATACACGAACTAGTCAGTTCCCATGATGCCTGTAGCATAGATGGCACGGAAATTGAAACCAAGTCAAGCAGCATTAAATACCTTGGATTAGTTCTTTCCTCTGACCTTTCATGGTCAACCCCCATCTTATCAATCTCTAAGAAAATGTTTTATCTTACCTTCTACATTAAAAAGTTATGACAATCAGATATCAACCAACCTATACATCTGAAGTTTGTAAACTCCTGTATTCTACCTATTGTAGTCTATTGCTCTCCATTAATCTTTCCTGGGCTTCTCAAAAAAGAGTATATCATATTACGAAGAGTATTAAATGCTGTGAGTAGGGCTTGTGGTCTGCCACTGCGTAAGCTCGCCAATGCTATAGCCGACAGACACATACATTCCTGTACAAAATGGGCAAAGGCTGTACTGTCAGACCCTCTGCACCCCCTCCTTTATTCACAACTATCCCCTTGTATCTCATAAGGTAGGATGAGAAGTCAATATAAAAGGTTATATGCTCGTACCACTGTTATGTACTAGTTTTCCCCGTCGCCAAATTGTTATGTACTCGTCGCTAAGTTATTGTTATGGTCTGGTCGAGAAATTAATAGTCCTGACGCGAGAAGGCAGAAATCAGAAGACCACTAGGTTTGCGATGATACTTCTATTGTCCAAACACAAGGAGACGAAAATAAATGGTCTCACACCAAAGTGGTAAGTAAGTAAAGTAGTTGTAAAGTAAAGTAGTTCACACAAGTTGTGAATGCGAATATATATAAATAATTCAGATAAGCGTGGGAAAATCATTAGACAGTCTTAACATGAATGGCTAATTATAATGGAGTGTCGATCCAAATATACATAGCGAACATAGCAGACATGCCAACAAACATATATGGATATATGTCACCAAGCAACGGACTGTCAACAAACACTCATATTATATATAATATAATATAAGGAGAATATACATTATTAAAGGAGACAAGTTCACACAAGTGAAGTGGTCACAGACTAAGCGAGCAAACAGAAAGAGAGACCAACATGCACACACACACATGAATATATATATGTGGATACATATCAACCACTAAGTACAGAAATTCTACAATACCCTATTTAGCCCGTACTTTATGTGACTAAGACTCTGTTAGACGTGAAACTTACAAGTTACTATGTAATTAGCACAGTGAATCGACCCTTTCATTGTTCATCTTTCTGTATTTTATGGTGTTACACTTTCTATCGTTTAATTATTACTCTGCTATTTTATTTTAGTTGTTATCACTAATATTTCTAGAATTTTGTACTTTATGCATATTTTTCTCCATATTGCATACAGTAATTTGCTATGTAGCTGCTGAAACAACGTTTTATTATTAATATTATGTAATGTTTATTTTTATTATACTTTTTTGTCATTTTTGAGTAAATTAGATGCAATATTATACTGAATGCTGAAAATTCCCTGCTGTATCATTAGTACTGTTTTTGGAATAAACCAAATTATCATTAACCTCTCCTTGTTAAAATCATCACCATCACTAATGAAATTTCACAACTCGATCTTGAAGACTGATGTTTAAACTCAGTATGTAGTGGAATGAAGATGAAAATGAATACTCTTTAAAAAGAAATAGTCGGGGATCTGTTCACAAAATTGAAATTCATAGGTGACGTATCAGCTCACGACTTAAAAAGTTCAGGAAATTGATTTAGAAGACTTTTAATGTCAGAAGGCTACAGTTCATACTCTCTAAATGACTCATTGTGATCGTGAAACTGGAGACCAAAGTTTCCTAGGCTAACCAATTCAACTTCACTGACTACTCAAGATCAGGTTGGCCAGTCAGAAAAGATCATCAACAGAGAGGGATATTTTTGATTGCACACTAGTCAGTAACTAGTGTAATATGCCCAGTCCTATCTTCGGTGCAGACTGAATTCTATCAGTCAAGCTTGTAATGTGGCCACCATGCTGAGTGACTCGCCATTACGGTGCACTATGAGATTTTGGTATTAGATGGTTGGAGGCAATCGGCCATGGGATGATGTTAGTTTTATCTTCTTTCGTTGTTGAGTCTTTCGGTTTACATAGAATTCAGTGAAGTGATTTTGTTGATTTGTGTACGACGTCGATTTCTAAAGGTTTGAAGGGTCTTGTTGTACACAAACCAACAAAGTCACTTCACTCAATTCTATGACAATCAAAAGACTCAACAGCGAAAGAAGATAAAATCATCATCATCTACAAAATAAACTGTAACAACTGAGAAAAACACTACATTGGCCAAAGTGGACCTCCCCTTCGTCTTTGCATCCATGATCATAAGCTGGCCGTCAAAAGACATGATGACGTACACTCCCTCATATCACTACATACAGACAACTACGGACATCAATTCGACTGGGACAACGTTCAAATATTAGACAGAGGAAACAACAAGAATGCTAGAGAATTTTTAGAAGCCCGCCTGGTATTCCAGTGAATCATCAATCAATAGACACATCGAGATAGACAAAATTTATCATCCGATAAGAAGAAAATCTCATACACAAAGGGTGAAAGTTCAAGTCAAAGAAACAATGAGTTCCAATACAAGTAACCTAGATGGTGTGAAAACACACAAAAACAACCAATCACGTTCAAAAACGGTTACTATGAGAGCTGATTAATAAACTCGTGGAGAAATCTTAAAGCGTACTTCATCAAATTGAAGTATCCGCCATTATCCTTCCCTTGTTGGCCTATTAAGACATAACCAACTAATGACTTCTACATCACCCCTTGTTTATATTTTCAACCCCTTTCTTATCATCCCTTAATCTTATCTTCATTATAAACGTCTTTCATTTCTTCCCCTTACAATCTAACATTACGTAATCGGTTCATTTGTTTTTCAATGAACGAAATATTCCCATATTGAGTCATAAGATAAGGCACAAACAGCGAAGAAAATTTTCTTTTCGACGATTCATTTTCATGAGCTGCTGTACAATCGTAATTATAATTAACCCAGAAATTTTTTTGGCCAATCAGATACTGGTAAAATTTATCCTTGAAAAATTGTAATACATTATGTAAGGTGTAAGAAGGGATGACTAATTGTAAGTTAGAAAGGAGACAGAAGCTGGCATGACGCAATTAGTGTGAGATAATGACTAATCGATAAGCTAGTGTAGAATGGACAAGAACTAGTGGAAAGGCTATAAAGTATTTTTATATAAGATCTGTGTGGAAAACAATGCTATTAATAAACAGTAATAGAGTGGTAATAAAATGTGGATGGTGGGAATAGTAATAATAATAAAAGTATTAAGAACAGTAATAACAATAATACTAAATAATAGTGAACTTACATATTAAAAGAGAAAAGAAAAATTGTAGTAAGAAATTTACTCTGGCCATGGTAGGGCTAGAGAATGCATGGAAGCTTTGAATTGATCATTTGTTTTTACTAGCCTTTATCGACTACTTCCACCTGAACAAATGTTTGTTTAATCATACTGTTTTCCATTATTGGTGTTATCACAGATTGCCCCACTTTTTCATCCTTATTATTGATAAGACCATTATTATTATAACTATTATTATTTTCATTACTACTATTATGACTAATTGCACAATTTATATTCACCATCTAATTATCCTATAGACAAAACACCATGATTGGTTTATATTTGAATTTTTATTTGTAAAGTTATGTAGTTGTATTAAAGTTAAGCCTGATGATATCTAATTGAAACCACAATATTGTTCGCTGAAATGTGTTGTTCTAAATTTTACTATGGGAATATTTAATATATTAGTAATGAATACAATAATATTAATAATTTATGAGTAGAGATGTATTCATAAAATTAAGCATTTTATTGATAAACTTACTGTAGCCTTTATATTAGTTCAAGAAGAAAAACATAAAGCGTAAAATAATATCCATTTGATGCTTGGGATTTTATTACGCAATCACAAAAATATAAAGAATTACCAGGGTAGATAAGTGTATTAGATTTCTTAAGAATTCCACTAGCTTTTTAGTTAGTTAGTTAGCTAGCTAGATAGCCAGCTAGCCAGCCAAGAATTCAAATGGTTTGAAGGGATTCTTTACACTCACAGGTGATTTGAACTCGGTCCCAGGGTTTTCGAACAATCAGATCCATCACACACGAACTTAAACGGTGAAAAAACTGAATTAGGTGAAGCTAAAAGGATATACTAGACTAAAGAAGGGAAATAATAGTACACCTGTACATCTGTAGAAGATATAATGCTTAGTCAACGGCTTGATGGATCAATAAAAAGATCTATTCATAGAAAACCTACCTGGACAGGACAGTAACTTAATTATCACAGTTTTTGCCCTGTTCGGTACAAAAAAGCCTTAGCAAAGTACCTCTTCAGTAGAATCCAGCAAATATGCACTAAAGGCACACTTGATCAAGAAGAAAGAAAGTTGACACAAAAAATTCTGGTTGATAACAATTATCCAGACAAGTTCATCAGGAGATGATATAAAGTAGTCAGTGGAACACCAAGATCCATTCTCCAACTCCCCCCTCCCACCCCCTTAAAAAAGACGTGTACACCAAGTTACCCTATATACGTGATCAAAGCACCTTGGTAACCTGACGACCCTTGTGTGGTTAAAAAGATGGTTTTTATACAACTAACTAAGATTAGAATAATTGAGAATATGAAGTCCATATATTCATCTAAGTCCTTTGAACATGCGAAAAATGATGTCACATCCTCTCACTGTATTTACCAGTTTGAATGTACGTGTGGACACACATACACACACACATGAGGAGGACTCATCGACCTCTGCAAGTAAGGGCTGGCTTCACAGGATATTCCTAAATGTCTTCAGAAACAAATGAAATCTTCAGAACCCATTAATGGTGAGAACAGATGAGAACTAGCTCCTGTATTGTGAAACATATTATAGAGACATGACATCAAAATGGACGTTAACACATCTTTGAAACCTATCTGTAAAACGTGTTTTGAGCGTATCCTAAGGTTTGTGGAAGCCCTTAGCTGGCAATTAGAAAGTTTAAACCACCTTTATGAGTTCAAAGCAACTATTCGTCATCACACTTAACAGCCTTCTTTGGTAAATTATGTTTTGATACCAGTCAGGATAGATGTACTATTATTACCTCTGTTATTTGGCTTAGTGATTGATCTTCATTGTTATTTTTACCGTCAATATATGCTTTTAACTTGACCTAACGTGTCCATTTTCTCACCTCTTAACTCTTTATTAATTTCATATATATGTACTCCTATGACAAGTCCGTGTGTGATGAAAACAAGATTTTGAGCAAACAATTGTGGTTTCGATAACTTCTTCTTCAGGCTCTACAGTTATAAATCCATGAATAATAGAGTACATATAGCGCCAATAAAGGCAAATGAAAATAATATCAGAAACTGTATTGGGGTGCATGTGTAAGTTGAGGTGATAGTCCATTAGTTAGCATAGTCAATTAAATGTGTATAGGGTGTTTAGTCAGAAAATATGTGATGAAGTGTGAATGAACAATTGGGTGATAGAGTGTTGTTTTACAGTTAACAGAATACAAGTGTCCTTGGGGTGAGAGTAAGGCGATAACCACAAAATACATGTAAAGACACGTTAAAATATGAGGCATTGGATATGAGGGCTGACCGATAATGTCTAATGATAAAATAAATAAAGAGGCTAAATTGTAAATTGTAATAAAATGCTACAGAATTGGTAGGTTTAGTATAAAATCATAAAGGTTGACAAAAATAATAAGGGTAACAATGAGGTGAAATAAACTGGGTGGAGAAATGGATAATAAAGACATGATATCACAAAATAATAATAACTAATAATAATAGTGCGAAAAATTTATGATCCTGATGACAAGTATTGGTTTTGTAGGGATTTTGTTTGATTGCATGGAGGATTTAATCATGAGCTGACATCAGTTAGAGAACCACTGGACAGCTGTTTCGTCCTAGTTTGGGATTCTCCCGCAGCACGCACCCACCGGGATTCGAACCCAGGACCTTCTGGTTACAAGGCGAGCTCGTATACCATTGAGCCACTGGGACCCGATCCAATGGTCCTTGAATTCTAACTTCTGCCAATTCACGACATAGCGCGACTACATTGCGAAGACATTGCGAAGTGGTCGCGCTATGTCGTGAATTGGCAGAAGTTAGAATTCAAGGACCATTGGATCGGGTCCCAGTGGCTCAATGGTATACGAGCTCGCCTTGTAACCAGAAGGTCCTGGGTTCGAATCCCGGTGGGTGCGTGCTGCGGGAGAATCCCAAACTAGGACGAAACAGCTGTCCAGTGGTTCTCTAACTGATGTCAGCTCATGATTAAATCCTCCATGCAATCCTGATGACCTTATAGTGGGCCAGGGTAGACAAAGAGAGTGAATAAGCTTTTTCTGTACACATAGGTCTGGTCTTTCTCTATTAACCTCTAAAGCCTCAGCTATGGCTAGGAAGCGTAATCGTGTGTTCTGAATCTGTTGTGCAAATACTCAGCATACAATTCAGACAAATTATGTCTTCTTATCTCTTTGTCTAAATTCATAAATGGGAACAAATTGTTTCAGGCGACTTATTTTTCTAACCACTGGCTTAAATCATTGGACGACCTACATATTTCTACCCAACTAAATCCATCATGTTTAACTATATTTCATATTGTTTTGATGATGTAATTCTATCTAAGAATTGCGATAAATGTATGCTCAGGCACATTTTCAAATTGAGGTTCCAAACTATTCCTACGATTCTTTTCAGTAATAATAATAATAATAATAGTAATAATGATGATTTGCTTAATTCTAAAACACTACGTGTGATACAGCATGAAATTTTAGGCATCTACCAAAAATATTTCAACTAATTTACTCATCAACAGCAAAAAGAAACAGCATTACATTGTATGGGTACCAAAAATTGTTAATAGTAACTCTTTTGTCATCATTAGTTAGAGAACCACTGGAAAACCTGTAAGGAATATTGGAAAGTTGTTTCATCCTAGTCTAGGACTCTTTATCAGTATACACCCACTGGGATTCGAACCTAAGGCCTTTTGGTTACAAGGTGAACTAGCTCGTACACCATCCAGCCAGCCACTGGGATCCGAACCATTGGCGAGCCCATAACTTCCAATGGGAAGTCGTGACCAGTAGGGGGTACAACAGGTTGGGCGTGAGAACATATACTCGCCAGAGATGACATTGGCTAATGCCAGTCTTCATGCTATTTCATGAATTGATAGAAGCTGGAATTCATGAGTCTTCGAATAGAGTCGCATTGGCTTAAAGGTTTACGAGCTAGCTCACCTTGTAACAAGAAGGTCCTGGGTTCGAACCCTAGTGGAGTGGGTGCGCATTACTGAAAAGTCCCAAAGTAAGACGGAACAGCTGTCCAGTAGTCCCATGATTGTTTTTCCAAATGGTTCTCTAACTGATGTCAGCCCATGATAAAATCCTTCAAATGAATCCACTGTCAACTAAATAGTTAGGGAATGGAACTCACCGAATTCAGATTAGCTCTACATGAGTATATATTGATTCAGTCACTAGGTTGATGAGATTAATTGATCCTCTAATTAATGTTGACATTTAGTGTGAAATCTATTTTTGAATTAAGAAATCCAATCACGTCATATTTATACATGATAATTTAAATTGAATGAAAGACAGGTTTCAATTAATAGGCAATAAAATTAAATTGTGACCAGTCGAGTCCATCATGTCAAGAAATGCAAAGTAGATGGTCATCGAAAATATTAGTTTCTTTTTGATTATAGCTTGGCTCCACATCTTATTTTTGGCACAAGTATGGAATCTACATCATGTGATACTGGTAGCCCAAATTTCATTGTCCTACCATTGATATTAAGTGTGCTAAGCCGGTGTCGGTGGCATAGCGGTTAGGACGCTCGTCGACCATTCACATGGTCCGGGGTTCGATCCCTGGCCACCGACGCACTCCTTTACCTCGTTAAACCAGAAATGATGCTGGTAAAGAGGAAAGGTTGGGCATGAGGCTGGCTAGCAACCCCATCCTGTGAAATAAACACTGCTACAGAAACTTCAAGCCACTAGCTTGAAACCACTGGGAACGTGAAGGAAAAAAGAAAGCAAGTCGGCGAAAGCCATAAACTCTGGGCCATCGACACTATACCACAAATTCAGTGGTCAATGGATTCCAGTGCAATCGACTGAATAGATTTGTATGCTGAAGTTCTTGGAGTTTGCCCCCCTTGTACAGTAGTGGAATTCAATTAATTATTGTCGGTTTCAGTGTTTAACTGACTGTATTTAACTGAAAGCCTCAGGATCTTTCTCTATTTACATACCAGCTTTCAATACGAACACTGTGGTGATATCTTGACATGAACACGATCCTGCTTGAATGATGGTGACATATATATGCACATACTCGTGTTTCTTCTTGTCTGCCGCTTCGACTATGGCCTACAAAATAAACTGTCCTCTGTGTGAATCATCTCAGTCTGCCCCAGAAAATCCTGCAGTTTGATGCTGATGACCTCCAACTACTCATTTAAGTCAATCAGTAGTATGTAGCGTCATGCATTCTAAAAATTTAAATGCTTTAAAAATATACTTCATTATTTAATACTAATAAAAAACCACATATTGAATTGGATTTTTTGATTTTCCCGTCGATTGATTGGACCGAAGTGCTCGGTCTCAGGTTGACATGTCGGCTTCTTGTGCAGATGCTTCGACGATGTCTGGGCATTTAGTTAGGATACAATTGGTGGATGGTGACTAGCAGTGGAATCCAGGATGTGCATTTCGTCCTATTTGGGACTTGTCTGCCAGCTGGATGTACCTGCATATCTCAGTGAGTGATGATGT